AAAAGTACTTCAGTGATAATTCCCCCAACAGGCTCCTCTGGAGCCAACCAAAAAAACTTGGGAGCAGCCAGCTCCCACCACAATATTTGGTGTCCGTGGTTTCTGGATGTCCTCCTTTCTCCACCTGAGATGAAGGATGTTTACGTTGCCTCCTGTAAAGTCTCTCTGGTCTCACCTACAGACACTTGGACAGACCCAGGGCTGCCCAACAGCATCTCCCTCCCCTTCTTCCCTGGAGCAGCAAGGCAGGACCAGCTCCGCTCAGCATCTCCAGCTGTGAGAAGAAGCCCAGTTATTCACCGCCGGTGCTGCCAGAAGAGCCCCAGAAACTAATTTTGCACTCTTCTTTGAGACATAACCCCCCAGCCCCTAACAGATCTCCAAGCACACAGAGCATGAATTTTCCCAGAGACTTGTAACTGGGCTGCATGTAAGCAGACATTTGCAAGGCCGATAAAAGGCACTTTTCTAATATCAAGACAACTCCACCACCAAAATTTGAGGCAACAAAGCAGAGAGGAATTAGAAATTTTTAGTAAACAGTCATAAGAATTCAACAGGTTTTCACTTCATCTTGTCTTTAAAAAAAAATAATATTGTTTTATCGGTTGCCTTTCAGGCAACTTCTCAAAGATACTTCCACGGGGGAAGAAGAATACATGGTGAGCTCAAGTTTTCACCTCGGTTCAATACCTTGCACTACTGCCTGCTGGGTCAGGCTTTTGCCACACAAATTTGCTGTTTTAAACAACAGACAACGGGGACTTTGGAGAGGAAGGATCAGCAGATTTCACTGCAGATGGCTCTACCAAAGCTCACAGCTACAAACATGGTGGACCTCACAGATGTAAATGTTCTGCTGTGGCAATGTGGCCTAGAAATTTTTGCCCTAGCAGTGAAAACAACTCATTTTATAGCTCACACTAAATTATTGCGCTCTCCGCTGAGACTCCTAGTCCAAGTGCCAATTACTGATAATTACAAGTGATTTTAGGGTTAATTCTTTTATTTTTTTAATGCCACACCATTATACAGAACCTTTCTTCTTTCTCATACAGAACCTTTATTCTTTCTGTCCTGCCACTGCAGTGTGCCCGGAGACGGCTCTGGGGCTTTTTCTAAGTCTCTGTTGAGCCGTTACAGCCAAGATCCTGCTGCTGGAGCACATTCATTCCCTTTTTGAATTCTGCAGCAACACACACTGCTAAAAGAAAAATAAATACTTGATCCCATAGCTGCACTGTATGCTGTAGTGGCAATATCCTGCTATCTGCACAAACTTAAGGAACGCTTAATAATATCTTATTAATACACATTAATGTGCACATAATTTATTGCACTAAATTATGCTTAATATAATTACCCAGGTAATAAAAAGTGCAAGATGAAATCCTCCCATATTCCCTTCCTCAGCCTTTTCCCTAAGATAGCATTAACTACACACGTTCGTTGCTTTGCAATGGGTATTCTTTGTCACGAACACACACCTAAAGGAAAAATCTCTTTGCTGAATGTCACCGATGCTCATTTGCCTCCGGGACGGACTGGCAGCAAGAGGCAAGTGGGCCACCGAAACAATACAAGAGGAACATGTTAGTAAAGGATCCAGAATAAAACTTCAGCCTACGACAATCCTAACATCGATCCAGGGAAAACAGCACCTTCCAGGGTTACGCTACCATCTGCTACCCAGCTGCCAAAGGGCTGAAAGCGCACTGATGTTATGTTTGAAAGATTTAGGAAGATAGCTCACCTTTCCTCCCGGTTTGTGTTGGCCATACAAGACATTCTATCATGTGGGCGAGAGTTTCGTGAGGAGTCAGCCAACACAAACAGAGAGAAGATGGACTGTCACCTTTTTTCATGCTCTCCAAGCACTACAAGAGGCTACGCAAAGACAAGAGAGAATTTAAAAGTACCAGTAACTTCACCTTTTATCACTGCACCAAAAGGCCAGCTTGTTTTCTTCCTAATGCTGCTTCATACAAATCTGGTAGAGGACAGACAGACAGACGCCTTCTACGTGAAAAGGCAAAACCTTTTCATGTGAAATCCTGGTGCTTTGCTGTTTACTGGCAACCAAAAGCAAGAGCCCAGCCCCAGCCAAAGAAAAGTTTCAAATAAACAAAGACTAAATATTGGAAGTCATCGGTGTCCATGGTTCTCGCTTAGAACAAAAGGAAGGAAGTCAAATATAAACAGTCTGAGGAACAGTAGCACACGGCAAGGCCTGGAGGTGGAAAACTCCTCCGTAAGAGCGACGCGTGACTATGCTGGTGTAAGTGTTCCCCAAAAGAAAGAGGGGACTTTGCTGGAACCTCATTGCCCCTTCACGGGTCTTGCACCTCAGCAGCAATTTATCTGTTCTAACATTAGGCAGTCTGGGAGAGCCCTGCTGAAAAGCATCTCTCTTCCTCTGGAGGCAACAACTCTGGGCTTTCCTGGGTTCACACTATCTAACAGGACTGAGCAGCCCATACCCTTTGGTGACTTTCTGGGCACATTGCAAAGACTGTCTCTGTTTGAGGGGCTTTGCAAAAGCTACAACTTCTCCCCTGCAATGATGAAGAGCTGGAAAGGAGCTCATGCAGGCGTCGGCTGGCTGGACACCGGCCGAAGCAATCACTTCCACGCTGCTAGAGCCGACTGTGTCATCGGTAAAGCCTTGGCAAGGGCCAAAGCCTTGGCAAGGAAGACTTTTTCTTTTTTTTTGTCTCAGTAGATAACTCTCATAAAACAGACAGTACAGCAGCAATCCAACTAAAATATAGCTTCAGGTGCTCACATTTTACAGTTTGAGGTGGGGCTGGCAAGGGCTGCCCCTCCCCACCTGCTCGTTTGGTTAGGCAGCACCTAACAAGACATAAAATAAAAGCAAATCCTGAACACACAAAAATCCCTTCCCACAGCAGCATCAAAGGAAGGCAGATCTCGAAATCACAACAAGCAAATAGGAAAGAAAATCAACACCTCAGGGCATGGAGGTGGGAGAAAAGACTTCAGAAGGGAGGGTGAGAGCAGAACCAACTCTGCCAAGGATGACTTCATTACAACAGCTCTCTTCCCTCCACTGAGCGCCTGGCCGGGCAGAGATACATGCTCAAAACTGGAGTTTCAGCTAAGACAAACCTATCCAAGCTAGGAGAAACCCGTGCTTAAAAAGGCAGTAAGCAGAAAGAACCCCCATGGTTTTCAAGGAGCATGAACTGCAATTCTCAGCCTAACAAATAATGGAAGTGGGACTGGTTTTACTCTCCTGGGCACAGTTAGTCTCCCCTTGGGAGGAGAGCTAAGAATGAACATCTACAGCTTTTAGGGGTCAGAAGTGCAGGCTGAGCAATCACTATTGCAGCAGCAGCTTTTAGCCATGTAAGCTGTGAGTTTGCATTTGTGCAGCTCAGATGCAGCTTGCAGTTCTGAGGGGCTATGTAAAACAGAGGCACTTACACACTCAGCCGGTCCCTGCAGCCCTCCTGCGCTCAGCAGCTGTCACACAGCCCTGCTATGATCACAGCCATACAGATTTCTAACAAGCAAACTAGTCAAACCTCCTGTTCGAGGGCTTCAGGCCGCAGCTCCATGGGCCAGGAAAGGATCCTTTTCCCTCAGGACATTGCTCTGGCACGCCTGGAGCTCCCTCCACCTTTCTCTGGTGTGCTGACGGACCACAGCCAAGTGCAAGCCACCAACCTGTACCATCATGTTCTCAGAAGTAGGAAAGACGCTTTTCCCTAGAACTGTAGTTTCCAACCTGTGTATCTGTCTATCGCTTCCGATAGCACCACACAAGATAAACAAGAGCAGCGAGCTATTGTACTGGCTGCAAATTTGTTATACAATGGTTGGCATCTCCACTCCAGTTTTTTGGGAAGGAGAGAGAAAAAAAAAACCAACACATATCATGCACGTTTCAAGTTGTTTTCTCTGCTGCAGATAGCAAACGCTCAGTCATGAGAGCTCAGGAGTCAGCTGCCAGAGCACAGCCCAGTTCAGCCAGGTCTCTTGCAGAAGCCTGTTACTGCAGGAGTTTGAAAACTGCTGCTCCAGGTGCCTCACGGTCATCTCTGCTCAGTACACTTCAGCAGAACTAGTTTTTAGGAAGTGTTTTCCTTATCCTTCTGTGTAGCATCATCAAGCCCTGCTGATCAGTGTTTTTCCTGTGGCTCCAGAGTTGCTGGACATCGGTGCTCCCTGCTTCCTGCAGGAAGGCAGGAGCTAAACGAGTAGCCTTTCTTAGCTCTGGTCGTAAAGCCTGCAAAGAAATCCAGAGGTTTGGAATGACTATGGATACTGCACAGCAAGAAAGAGGAGGTCGCATGCAAGAGGAAGGGGTGGGGTGCCAGGATGTGTGGTATCAGTAAGATCCTTGCATTTAAATACCTTCAGTAGCTTCTGTAGTTAAATGATTCATCCCCAAGGACTTCAGCAGTTGCCCTATGTCAGGCGATAGCTGGCAAGATTGGTTAAATTCATGTAGTCTCACCAGACTCTCCCACTTGGTGCTTCCCACCAGCTACAGCTACCGCCAGGACAGAGGAAGAGGATGCACCAGACTGGCTGGTACCTCCGACACTGGGCTGCATTTCTGTGTCCTGGCACATATCTCAATGAGATGTTTAATCTCACTCAGCTTCAGACTTGCTCACAGCACACACATTAAGGATACTCATTAGAGGAACATTAGTTGTTCTAGAAGCGCAGACATGCCTCCCATCCCTACTCACAGGAGCAGACAATTGCAGTGATCCTTCTGGTGCCCAGTTTGTCATCAGCCTACAGTGTGGGAGAAACTGCAGCAGCTGGTGCCCACCTTCCTGTAGTTTTACTGCTGTACCTTCATCCATGTGTTGTTCAGCCAGACTTTAAAAAAAAGATACTTATACCATACAAGTTTTTAAACAGGATGGAATTGTACAAGACACTCTAGACAGGAGAGTCATCTTATGGAGCTGCAAGGTTATCTAATGGCTTGTATTTCCCACCACAAGTACATCCTTGGCCTTTAAAGGAAATCCCTGAAAACTCTGTTCTTCAAGGCAAGGAAATAAACACCTTGACCAGTTGAGGTGAAATGTGTCATCCTCTGCAGAGTACATCACAATCTCAAAACCGAAGACTGGGACCTGTTACCATCTTCCATACAATGAGGATGGAGTTCAGGCATCTGTTACAAAGCTTGCAGGAATCAAGTCAGCAGCCCAATGCAAAGTAATTTAACAGAGACTTTTCTATCTTACTACTTTAATGCCTTTCAATGTTTTATTACTTTAAAAACAGCATCTCCCCAACTTCCCATGCTACAGTCTCATCAGTCCCCTGGTTTCTCCCCCATGAGAACTCCTTGATACACAAATGATTTTTTTAAAGCTAAAGTAACTGCCAGGACAAGGTGTTTAACACTTTTTAAAATTATTTAAAAGCAGGAAGCCAACTTCTTATTTCTTCCTTAAGTCTCCATAAATGCAAAGTCTGGATCAGGAGTGACATAAGGTATACAAAAAAAACCTGAAAAAGCAACACTGAATTCTAAGAAACTTATACTTTTGTTGATCTGGCAACCATCTCTCCTATCACTGCTTATGCACTAGAAAAAAACAAGCTCTGGGTAGAAATTTAACTTAAAACAATGGGAAACAGAAAAACTCCTGAATCTGAAAAATCATGCTTTAAGAATTAAAGTCCATTTAAATAACCTGGAGCAACCATTGCAAAGAAGAAAGAAGTCCAGGTTAGCAGCTGTTTCTCTACACAAATGGAACTATTCAAGTTATTTATCCCACCTACCTCAAAACAATGAACAAACCACTTCAGTGCCGTTGAGCTCCTTTTTAGGAGACTGGCCTCTACAGGTGAGGGGTTTGTGACAGACACAGGTGCTAGTACTAGAAGGTAACTATTGAAAAACTTTAAGATGCAGGAAGAGGTTTGAAAAAAATAGCATTAAGAACAGCTGAATTACCAACTATTTCAGAGCATTTTCTACAACAAAAGTATCTCCACCCAATATCAGTTTAATGCTCCCTTCCCCCCCCACCCTCTCAAGTCTGAGGTTTAAAAAACCCATAATGTGAAAAAACCTTCATGCCACGCCCTCTCTCATGGAATTATTACATACTTACCTAATGGTATCTGTAACCCAAAGCACAACAAATGGATACTGATTCTCCCTCGCCAAGAGAGAAACGCAGACAGATCAACACCACCAGTTTGGGGTTTTTTTTAAAGAGTTTTCCATTTTTATAATAATTTTTTGCTACACAGGTAAGAAGATTTATACAATAAAATTTTCAACTGAAAATACTTTATCACAATAGTGGAGCAAGCAGTAACTGCCATGTGTGCACTTCACAGTACGTCACTATCTAGTACAAAGACGGACGATATCACAATTAAGATCAGACACTTTCCTCTGCTTATCTGCTGTTCAACCTCATTCCATGGCAACGGAAGAGTTTTCTGCACAGGTCTTTGCAAATGAGTTCACAAATCTCTACAGTATATGGGTTCTGCATAGAAATCTCCACCCCTGCAAGATGGTAACAAGACTATTTCAGCACAGTTTCCGCAATAGTTCAACTATTTAACACGTGGTCACTAAGATCTACAGAGATATGCACACAGGTACAGATGTCAGTACTGTAACAAAGAGTAAGTCCACATTCATAGACATAGATCGCTTCAAGTCTCTGCTACACATCTGAGGATGGACACTGACCAATTGTCTCTGCTTTAATTCCCTTGGAACTGAGTGAGCATACGTGAGGGAGGCATGTATCACAGGCTGCTAGCAGCCTTTGAGCGTGACCTGGAATACACAAAGGTAATACTGATACTCCTTCACTACTTGCCTTTCCCCCCGCCCCAACCAGCCTTGCAAGTAGTGTAAGACCCTAACGCAGTAATTTAATAAGCTTTAACAAGCTGACGCCAGATACCACCTTCCTCCAGCACAACACACACAGAGACTAGTTTTTCCCACAGCAAGAAAAGGCAGAGGCATTTTCGGCAGAGGTCCATTCCTGTGGGCACACAGCTGGCATGCCTGCTCCTGTCCCCATTCTTTCAAGAGGGAACTGTGGTCTGTTTCAAAGAATCTTGTCATCTTTTACCAAAGGCGAAAGCTACCCCTCCCTTCCGAGAACAATAACTTCAATGACAATTAAGTCCGAAAATCCCGGCCCAGCACACCAGTCACTGCTTTGCCTTTTTCACAATGGTGCCAACAGCTGATATGACTGTAGTTTTGGATCCACTTGCGCTGGTTGTCACTGTGACAACGCCTGGCAGTGTTGCAGTAGTGGTGAGAATGGTGGGCTGAGCTATCGTTGTTACAGGAATGGCCGAGTCCCACTTGCTCTTCCTCTTCTGGGCATCTGTGAATTTGATTACATCAAACAAGCAAGGATTAGCATTATGTCAATGGTCACCAGACCCTTCTTAACACCCTGTCTTGTCAAGCCTTAATACACCACTGCTTGACTAGACAACTTTCCCTCACATTAATTTCAGCATACACTGGCAGTAAATGTTGAGGAGGAAAGACAACTTTACACGCCTCAAGAGTCAAAGTAAAACTCTACACCTGAACTCCAGCCAAATGGGAGACAGGTTCACTCCCTGCCTCAAAGCATATTTAATTTTAACACAGCACACGTATCTCAGTTGCTCAGGTACAGGCACAGGACACACTCATCAGCCTCCTGCGTTTTTTCTCCCTTCCTCCCAGTTTAAAAGGCAGGCTGCGGGCAGGAGAATAGTTTTCAGTCTTTCCAATCTCTTGAGATGTATCAGTCCCAAGAATACTCTACAACCACAGGCATCAGGAGGTTTCTCAATCCACTAATAAGTGTCACTATCCCACCTGTCCCTAGTCTTTCATTCCAGAAGGACAACCATGGGATATAAGGACCAGAGGAAAGCTAGTCCGTCAAGCCCAAGAAGAAACACTTTCTTGTATCATATACACAGTCAATAAGGAGCCTTCAGGGAGCACTAATCCCAGCATTACTGCAGCTTAATAGGTACAATCACAACTGTTCTTTACCTCCCACAGTGGTACTGGCTGTTGTGGTGGTTGTAGAAGCAGCGCTTGTTGTTGTACCCTTTTTAGTGCCAGTCACAAATTCAATCTGGAAAGGCAGAGACACAGAGGAGAAAGGGGAGAAGATAAAAAAAAATGAAGTGTTAAGATACAGAGTCTTTTTTTAACCCACGACGCCTCTCTATGTTTTTGAAAAACAGCTTTAATGTCATGCAAGACATTGGTCTCTGAGCTGACTGTCACGCAGGAAGAAAGATGTAGACCTCAGGTCAAAGTGTACTGAAGTCATGCTCATTAAGGATTCCTGCATCCCAGCTCCTCAGTCAGATACAATAAAAATGTGTTTGTTAACTTGTATAAGCACAGGAATTTGATATAGCTCAGAAAGGACAGATCCTGGTCATTAAAGAATGTATTCATACAGGTAGAAGTTCCTGTTCTTTTTCCTTTAAGAAACGTGCAAGGCAAGTCCCTACCTGCATGATTTACTGCAACTGCATCACAGCAGGAAACCTAGCAACAAGAGCTACAACAGCATGCAGTCTCATATTTTCAAAACTACAGACATGGGCAAGGATGTCATCAGATATTTGGGTTACTGTGCAAAAAACAAAACAAGTAGCAAGACACAGCATGCATTGCAACAAAAAATGCCTCCACATACTGAATATGGAAGGAGCCTTCTGCAAGGTTAGACAGCAATCTCTAACATTAGACAGTTTTCTAATGCCAGCCACTAGCTTAAAGGCAACAGCACTAAAAGACAGGAATAAAAATCTTGCAAGGCCTGTCTGCATTCTTTTTTGGAGGGTATGAGAAAATGTACATTTTGCAACAAGTCCAGTTAAAGTTAAAATAGGCCCAACATTTCTGGAAATTAGATGCAAGAAGGCAATATCAAGGAGAACAGAAAGGAGGTATTGTCTCACAATGAGATATGATGAGGAAATTAAGCTGTAACTAGGCTATGCCACCAGGCAAAATGTTATAGATTAAGAAAAAAAGCTATTCTTTATACATTATCTAGCCTGTATCTGGCTTACTGAATACCATTTTAAGAGCTTTGATTTAAAAATACTGGTAGAACAGAAGGAAATCCAGTGGAATAACCAACCTAGAGAAATGGACCTATAAGGAAGGGCAAACAACTAGATCTGTGCAGCTTGGAAAAAGACATGCAAGAAGAAAGGACAGAACCAGGGAAAAAACAAACAGTATTAGCACAGAGCATAGTTCGTAAGAGCAAAGTAACGAAATGAAATTCAGCAGGGAAACAAACAAAAACCGTGCATCTCCATCTCTCTTGGTTTTGGATAGCTACCTTTGTGCGTTCCTTCTTGGCCTTCTCTAATTTGTCCATTTCAATCTTCTGGGCTTTAGCTGAGAAAGACCAGAAGTTGCAAGAAGCACTAGGAACAGTAAAAATCCATACTTCTCTCACTCACACACTTCCCATCACAAACAATCAAAAACTTCAAATTGTGTACAGAAAATTAAACTGCCATGAAACTACCTAGTGCTTTTTAACCAAAGTATTACTGCACAAAATTAATGACTTAAGAGATCAAAACATTGAAGAACCCATTTAAATGAAAAGGCTTTCCAGACTGATGAAGCATCAATAACATTCAGGCACATCCAACCAGAATGAAGTAGTTAAAGAGCAGCATGTGATGACTTCTCATTTATAAAGGAAGCGAAGACTCTAGTGCAGTTAATTAACTACAAAACACAAAGAGGTAAGTTAGGACAAAAAAACCCCACTTCCTGGAATTACCTAGTGCCTCATAATATGAATCCTCTGACCAGCCATGAGGATCAAACATGTCCTAAAGAAAAAAATAAGTCAGATTAGGGCTATTTCCACATATAAACAAAATTCAGTTCAAAAACGTTTTATCTATTTCTGTTCACTGTTTTATCTATTTCTCCTTCTACCCCAGTGACATGAAGATCACATCAGACCTTCTTTTATAGGACCACGTTCTGTTGTGAGCAAAGGAACAGCTTTGAAGCCAAAAGGATGCTGGCTGGCATAAGTCATACGTTTTTCTGCTGCTCAGCTTCTATCCCCCTCCAAAGGAGTTTCCTGTGTATCTACACACTTGAGCAGATTTCGTTCAGAATCATGACAGCAAAGTTGGAGGCACTGAGGCTCAGTACCACATAAAAACATTCACTTCAATGAAGAGGATCAGACTAAAGTTCCCTTAAAGGTCCTTTAAACAAGCATGCTCAAGAAAGCCAGAGGTAAGACTTTACACCGCTGTAGTATTTTTTATCGACTCCCTTGCCAGTCAAAAGTATTGCACCTCACCTTTGGATAATTTGTACCGAGTTCATCAATTGAACAAAACTGGATCAGCTTTTCATAGATGCTGCAAAGGAAAGACAAGAGTTCAGAGCAGAGCCACTGAGCTAGAAGTAAATTAGCGTTTCAGATTTGTTAGTAGAAAGAGGTTGTCACCTCTTCGTACTACAAGGGTAAAATCAGAACCAGGGAAGCTATGCTTGCTATGATGGATGTGGCATGCCATTAACCATGTTATTTCCCACTTTCCCCAAATTATTCTCCCAGCTCCCAGAACAGACACCTTCTGAAACACTTCATCCAAAGCCTGTACGTTTAAAATCTGACACACAACTCCAGTTGTTGCCTCACAGAACATAAAGAAGAGTTTTACGGTTTCAGTTACAATCAAATTATGTCTGCCTTTCTCATTTTTGCAAGCAGTAGTACTTCTTGCTCAGGACCCTGTTTCTGCTACCACTCCAACAAAGAGGAAAATTCTTCGAATTTGCTCTGTGGCGCTTTGGTCACACAGGAAAATACAGTGGCTCACCTGGGATTGCGGAACTCCTTTTTCCTCTGAATGATGTAGTTCATATCCATGCCCTCTTTTATTTTCCTCTCATATAGCTTTTGAATTTTATCCTAAGGGAGAAAGATTACAAGGTGAGCCAGTACAAAAGAGAGGAGCACATCAGCTGACTATCAAAAGTGTACCTGTGGAAACAAGCCAACTGAACCAGTGACATCCTTGCACAGAACAAGGATTCCACCTCTCCCCTAAAGCCAGGCAGGCTGATTAGTACAGCCACGCCCTCCTTTAAGGTCTGAAAATATCTTCATGAACTGTATGGATGGGTACGGGAATTGATCTTTGCACCTTCTGAAGGCTTCAGTGACTAAAGATATGCATTTGCGGGAGTAGCGCACACTCCTTCTTCCCAATCTGTTGTTTCCCTTTACAGCTATGACTGTGGAGAAGTAGAAGTCAGCTCAGAGCGGGACAGGGCAAATCCACAAAGGTTCACCCACCACGTACAGTGACCATCACACCCACCTTCAGACTCAGGCGTGCACCTGAAAAACAGCTGCTGGGCTACACGGCACAGAAGGCAGGGCTCACGGCTGTGCCTGGGTAACAGACGATCAGAGCCAAGTTCTGCTGGTGAACTAAACCCAATGTGATCATCAGGTACCGCTGGTGGTGTCTACAGGCAGCCAAACGCTCTTGGGAACAATGCACTTGTAAGTCCCTGCTTCGGTACAAGTGACCAGTTAGACTGTATCAGCTTCTCTTTGCAGATCACTCAGTTACAAAGTCTAGGGATATCTTACTGAAGCCACAAGCCCCTGCAAAAGGCAACTTAACTGACTTGGGTTGGAAATGTGAAGCAGTCTACTCTCTAAAAAGACTGAAAGATTTAAAAATAAACATGATTTTTTTTCTTCCTCAGCAAGGTAGTGAAAGACCTTACAGGTATTTTTACTCTGGTGATGCCGAAGGGATAGCAAAAGCAGAAACTTTCAGATGGAACATATACTTAAGTGGTACTACTAAGGAGAATATTTCTCAGTGGTTTCCTTCATCTTTTCTTTTTGACACAAATTTCTCCTGTACAAGAGGCATATAAAATAAGACCAGAGGCTAGGCCTTCAAGTCTTTCAGGATGAGAGAGATGAGTCAATTTTCCTTTGCTGCTTCTGGATAAGTCACTTCATGTCTCCCTGCATACGGACAGTCAACTCGAATACAGAACTGAAGGGTTTGCTGACATCTGAATAAAAGAGGATTGTTAAGAGCTGATTGGAAACCTCTATTTCATCAACCTTAAAAAAAAAAACAAGCTTTACAAGATAAATTTTCATCAGGTCCTCACAAAATCATCAAGAAGAAATTACACAATCCCCACATCCAGCACACACATTGTGAGGTTTGAAGGAACAACTGCAAAAATGTGAGTCTGGGGAATAGAAACAATTGAGTAGGTGTTCCCTTTTATCCCCTCTCCGTGGAGGTAGCAATATGGTTCACAAAGTCCACAGATGGGGAACTACTCAGTCAACTTCAGAATACAAAATATTCCCTTTGGCAGAATTCAAGATACAGTTTATTAGAGGAAGAATCTGACAAAAGGAAAGAGCAAATCAACAGTGAAAAGCCTAGAACATTTTGAATCTCTAAAGAACAATCCCATCTCCTTGCTCAAAGTGCTCTAAGATGTGGTTTGACCTGCTAACAGAGGACAAGTTCTCCTTTGATTTAACATAGTACACTGGTGTCAAAAGGGAAGAAAATCTGCTTTATTCTGTCTGCTCTCTCAAGCTCTATGCATTCCTCAGATTTAATGCACTCTAATTCATTGATGTCAGAACAGTAAAATCCTCCTACAGCACAAGAGGAGGAACGGGTGTGCCCAGGTACACCTGGCAGAGAAGAAGAAACCGTGATCTGGATGGTGAGTCATTTTGAATCACCGTTGGACATTAGTAGCTTACTTTATAGAGCATTCCAGAAGCGACTCTTTACTTGTATTTCTACTAGGCAGATAACTGCAGTTAAAACTCAAACGGGTGGTAGGAAACAGCAGTCCCTGCTCTTTCATTTGCCCTCCATCAGGAGGAGGAGAAGAGCAGAAGGATATTGCAAAGTTGGTTACTGCAATTATTTGGGTATGCACCAGTGAAAACATGCATTTGTTTTCTTTTGCTGCCTCTAAGTTACCAGCCTTCCCTCTAAATGTTTATCATCGAGAGATATGTAGGTGGAAAAGGAATCCAGTCAATGCTGCCTCAACTATTCCAGTTAGGGGATTCTTGGGCCTGTACAGAAAAACAATGATTTGTTCTTTCCTATAGAGCTGAATTTGCTGAGGTAAGAGGATAGCAGCCTTCACAGTAAACATTGCTTCTGTGCCACTGGCAGGATCAAGAGACATTTTAAAGCATAAGTGACCCACAGAGACTGGAAAACAGCTTTAAGCTGTTTTGAGATTCCTAAACTAGAATTGCTGTAAAGACTAAAGCATTAACATGGTGCATTCATAAACTCAGCGTGGTAAAAATCCAGCTTTAATGCTGGATTTTTGACTTATGCAAAAATACTGAGCAGAGCTCCCAAATATCCTCTTGCCCTACTGAATTGCAAGCCTTTTAAAAAAAAAGGTAAAGTGGACTTATACCAACCTGCAAGTGATTAGAACATCTGCCAGGAGGTTCAGGAGGGATTTTGATCTCATCTGGAGACATGTTCCGCACTCTCTCTGAAAAAGAAGCTGTAGAGAGCAAACTGGGCATGAGTTCTAGCAATACTGAAGGGAATTTAAGCCATGCAAGTCATTAAACTTGTTTTATGTTCTTGCTAGTGCTACTCTCTCATTGAGAATTGATGGGTAAAGGTAACAGGGGAATGCTATCAACTGGTACTCATGGTGTTTTCAAAGTGCTGAGCAAGAAGATACTAACTTAAAGATTTGATCATAGAAGAGGGATGTGATGCTTGCTTTATTGATATCTACCTTATACTGTGGCTCTGTCCCACAACCACGCTTAAAGCTTTATTTTCAGTGGTCTCTTCATCCCAGAATGGCAATGTGAAAAGCTAAGCTACTTCCCACTCCAGCTGCAATTGTTGGTAAGATCCCCAAAGGCAAAGGGTCTTCAGAGGAACAAACGTTGGTTCATGGAATTTATCTCTAAACCCCTGCACTGTGCACCACATACTGAGCCCTCCACTACTCCAGGTCTTCCATATGCCCTTTAAAGTCCTGCTCTGGCAAAACTTATGCCTGGATATTCTCAGAGAGAGAAAAATCAGACTGTGTATGTGGAGGGTCACGGGATCAATCTAAAGCAGCCTGGTCCATTGCCATTTTGAGGGAGGTAATCACTTTGGGTCCTATTTATTTCAAGACCTACCTACATGAATCAAAATGGTTCAAGAAGGGAACAACCGTCCCCAAGGCTGTCAGGAGTTAACCACAAGAAATTACCTTTCATCCTTAAGTTAAGGTTTCCTTAACAGGCACTTTGATCTTTGCTTACAGAGTCAGACTATTGCTAGAAAGAACAACTGGTTCTGCAGGACTGAGAACAGACCAGTACAGACTGCCAGATTTCTATAGCTGTTTGTGTTGGGAAATACTATTAGAGTGCCTGATTGCCCTGTAAAGATTAGGTTACAGAGTTATCAGCAAAAGAAACTGCCATGTTTCCCCCTATTGCTTGCCACTTTCCCATTATTATGGGAAACCCAGGCAGTTTTCTAGCCAAGTCTTGGAGTAGAGATTTGTGCCACATTTAAGCACCTGGGATTGTTTTCAACTGTAATTTGTAGGGGGAACCCATCCCAGAGTCATAGTCTATAGTAGATAAGACACCTGGGGCCAGCACAGAAGTCGTATCAACCAAGCCATTCACATTTGCAGCTCCTCAATTATACATTCCTCAGTAAAAGCTACCTGAACTGCAGTTCCAGCACCTCAAGCTCCGCTCCTTTGAGTAAAGCTCAGAAGGGTCCAAAGCCCAGACAGCGGCGTTTGAACACAGCGTGTCCTCCTGCCTTCCAGCACAGAGCATCAGCTAGCTGAGGTTACAGATAATCAACACTACACATGTTCAGTGCTACTATAGTTTCCATTTCTTTTGTAAAAATGTAAAGCACCAAAGACAATATCCTTTGAAGACAAAAAGCTGGCAGGCGACAACTCATTCTATTTGATCAAGATGTTGTTGAGGGTTAAATTCTTCAGCAGTTGCTGAAGAAATGAACAAAAAGTGTCCTTTGGCATTTACTAAGAGGGCGCTTCTATGGAAGAAGGAAAGCTTGCCAGAGCCCCTACAGAAAGGCAAAATGGAGCTCCCTGACAACAAGGCAGACATTTGTTATAGGTTACAGCTGGTGGTGGGATGGGGAAGCCTCTAGCTTAATTAGAGTTTCAGGAACCCAGAAAGACAGTAGCAAATAGACAGAAGTGTGCATAATAGATGGCACGCTAGGCTTTCCGGAAAAGGTGAAAGCTGATTAATGGCTTAAGAGATTCACAGCATCAGCAGAAATAGTAAAAAAGAAAAAAGGCCACCAAATCCAGACTTCATAAGGCAAAGAAAGGACGTAAAAGAAAAAAAAAAATCAAGCCTAGCTCCTGACTAGACATCCCATAGGCTTCTTATCTTTGCAGATGACCAGAAGGGCCACAGAGAAACCAAACATTTATGGGAAGGGGAACTGGGGGCTCATATAAACTCAGGAACTCCGAGCAAGAACTCCATCTAGCCAGCAAAGAAGTCAGAAGTCATAAGAGTACGTTCAGCAATCAATTCAAAGCTCCCTTGAAACAAATAACATTGGAGGTAGAACAAGAGCTCCCAATGAGACAATATATTTTGACGCATGACTTTTCAGGTTTTGGTTCTCATTTGCTCTTTTGTTTGAGCCAAGTGAAAACAATCATTTATCAACATTATACTGATGGGTCAGGCATCTCTTAATGGCTTACAAGGAACTGGAACTAAGACATCTTCGTCTACTGCAATCTCCCCATAGCTGTACGCAGCTGAAGACTGAATCAGCAGTGAGGCTACGTGCATCTCGCAAACTAAGCGCAAACATTCATCATTACTCAGTTATTTCATCACATTGCAGCCAGACTGAGATGCCACATCATTTCGAAGAAAAGGATGAGTTTAACCCCTTCAGGCTTATTTACAGTAAGGAAGTACAAATTATCCATGCCCTTGAGCAGCGCTCAAACTTCCTCCCCAAACAGATCGCAGAATGGCCAATTCCACGGCCTCTTCCCACA